CCTCTTCAGTTTTCACTCTCAAATCCCTGTTCTATATTAGTGAGAAACACAAAGGGAGAATTCCAGGGGACACCTGAGGAAATTCAGCCTTTGGGCAATGTCATGAAACAGGTGACCAATGAGAAAGGCCCTCAGCAGGAGATGAAAAAGAGCCAGAAGCACAGCCACAGGAAAAGTGCATTGGTTTCACTCAGAAAGAGACAGAAATACAGGAAAACAATGGTCAAACATTTGATGACATCTGAAATCAGAGAACAAACCCACAACTGATATAATGCAGCCAAAGGCTTGGGACTACATTGTAGAGAAGATAACAGCCAGCATATCTAATGTAGTATAAAGAAACATTTTGAATGGGAAAACAAATTCTGGATTAGCAGTTAGAGAAGACTTTCTTTTAAAAAACACAAAGAGCAGTAACTGGAAAAGAGAAGACTGGGTGAGCACTGCGGCCTCTTGGGTAAAGGCTGGGACCTTCACCTGACTACCAGATGAGATCCCCGATGGTGGAAGGAAATGGCAGATGCCTTCCCATATGTTGTAATCTACATATGTGCACTTTGTGTGCGTGTGCATGCCCACACACATATACAGTAACTAAATGTTAAAATGTAAGGTTTTTGTTTTTTTGTTTTTTGTTTTGTTTTGTTTTGGTTTGGTTTTTCGAGACAGGGTTTCTCTGTGGCTTTGGCGGCTGTCCTGGAACTAGCTCTTGTAGACCAGGCTGGCCTTGAACTCACAGAGATCCGCCTGCCTCTGCCTCCCAAGTGCTAAAATGTAAGTTTTAAAAGAGGAAACCAAACCCAATGTAGAAATGGTCAAAACTTGATTAGTCTTTAAAAAGACACATCATGGGCAGTACATATCTGAAAATCAGCATCACTAATCACCAGGGACATACAAATCAAAGGCACACAGTTGTAACCCTGAGGATATGTCAGGATGACTATTGTCATGGCACACTCTCCTCTAGACATGATTTGGCCATTGCCCTGTTGAGCAGTATGCAGCTGTAATTCCTGGAAGGACACTGAAACAGAAGTGAGCTCGGTAACTTTCCCTCATATGGCAGAGGAGGGGCTCACACAGCCCTACTCCCTCCCCAGGAATGTTAGCCATAACAGTTGCTGGAAAGACAGTTTTCCCTAATGGTGTAGCACCCATAAGTTGCTGACAGTCCTGAAAATGACTCCAGGTAACCTCACTGGGTGGAATCATTTCTTTGTTTTTGTCATTGAGGCTCTAAATGGGTGAGCTGATGCTGATTCGTGTTTCTTTGGGAAAAAGTTCTCTCAACAGGTATATAAAAAGCAGGAGGGATCTGGGGAGACGACTCAGCAACCAGAGCACTTGCCATGGATACTTGAAGACCAAGTTCAGATGCCTGGATCCCATGTAAAGCCACCAGATGGCCACCAGATTTCAGAGTGAAAGATGGGTGCATACAAGGTGTGACAGCTTATCAGAGTGTACAGTCACAAGTTGAAACCTTGGTGAGAGCCAGCAACGAGGAGGGAGAAGCTGCATAGTGGTTGACTAAATGCTGAAGACTGAGAAGAGAACTCTGAAGCTTAAACATTTCAGGAGGGCCAGACATGCATGAACTCTATAATTTTGAGATTTTTCTCCCAAGAGCTCACCCCGCTCTCATTAGATATTGTAGAATTATCCCCCTGTACTTCTGGCAGAAAGAATCGACAAAGATTCACTGTGAATTACACAAGAGCACTGTGTTACTAACACCATATTCGCAGCAGCTAATTATTCTTGGTACACTGTATCTAGCTAGCAGGAAAAAATATTACAAGACAAGCTGAGTAGCAAAAGGCACAGCCTGAGAAATGGAACAAGCAATAGACCCATATATGCGGGTATATGAATATTAGCGGGCCAGGAATTTTGAACAGTTATGATGAAGACATTAAAAGTTCTAATAGAACAAGCAGCCAACGTAAACAGATATGGGACTCCTATGAGGTGTGAGGATGTTGCCCATCCAAACTCCTGAAACAGAGATGAAGATGGCCTTTTTGAGTAACTTGAACATGGTGAGTAAAGGATTTCTGAGCTTGAAGATATCTCAATAGAAACCTCTAAAGTCAAAAAGCAAAGAGAACCAGGAAAATTAGTATCAGGAGACTGTAGGACTCTACAAAAGATGTGAGAAGAGCAACAGGAATACTGAAGGAGAGAAAGCAACAGAAAGTAACTGTAAAGGATAACAACTAAGTTCATGTCAGACACCACACAAGAGACCCAGGGGCTGAGAAGACACCACACTGGATTAACACCTCCATAAGTCATGCTACAGTCCTGCATTAGTTTCCAAACTACAGGAGGTAAAAATAATGAAATCCTGAGAGACAAGGAGAAAAAAACAAGCTCTTTATTTACAGAGAAGGGAAGGCAGGAATCATTTCCAACTTCTCAGAAGTCACAGTAACGGGAACATAGAAGATGTGATATATTCAGTGTGGAGGGGAAGAAAAGAAAAACACTGATAAGGAATTTTCTACGGTGTGAGATTGTCCTTCAGAGGCTAAGGAGTTTTAATGACACTTCAGATGAAAACAGCTGAGGAGAGTTGTCCGTACCAGCCTTTGCAAGAACTGTGCTATTTTCTTCAGACAGAAAACACTGGATCAGAAAGCAAGATCTGAATATAGATTGAAAACAACTCAAATATCTATCAGTAAAATGAATAATGTTTGTGTATTCACATAGTGGATAATTAGCAAAGATGGCATCGCCAAAGATGAAGTTTATAAACATGAGGTTGGATAAGAGAAGCAAAACTGAAGTGTGCTGTTACCTACAATTCATTAACAAAGAGCATCTCAGGTGTGAAGGACAGTGATCACTGAAGTGACAGGAAAAGAACGGCCCTCATGAGGTGATGGATGCTGACATGAAGCCTCGTGACTGGAGACACCCAGGCAGACTGTGCTTTGCATCTTCTCCTGCTTCCTGATTGGTGTATAATGACTCGCTGTGTTGCATGTTTGTGTTTGACATGCCTCACTGTATGTGTGTGTGTGTGTGTGTGTGTTTAACTTAAATGTTGAAGACTAAAGCCAGGCCTGGTGCCCAGCTTGACATCCTCAGTTCATAGTGGAAGGAGTGAATTGACTCCCCCATGTTGCCTCTGATTTCCAGATGTACACGCTGACATACATTTGTTCAACCATGTGTGTGTACAAGTACACACATGTGTGGATGCATAGACACACAAACACACATTTAAGAAATGTTCCCCGGGCGTTGGTGGCGCATGCCTTTAATCCCAGCACTCGGGAGGCAGAGGCAGGCGGATCTCTGTGAGTTCGAGGCCAGCCTGGTCTACAAGAGCTAGTTCCAGGACAGCCTCTAAAGCCACAGAGAAACCCTGTCTCGAAAAACCAAAAAAAAAAAAAAAAAAAAAAAAAAAGAAATGTTCAACTGTATTTAAAAATTAAGGGGATAGTTCTGGAGAGATAGCTCAGTGGTTAAGAGCACTTGTTGCTCTTTAAGAAGACCTGCATTTGATCCCTAGGACCCACATAATGGATTTCGACTATCTGTAATTCTAGTCCCAGGGGGACTCACTAGCCTCTTCCTGCTTCTGCATACACATGGCGCACAGGCATGCATGCAAGGAAAACACCCATACATATAATATAAAATAAAGGTCAAGAACCTTAAATGGATAGATAGCCTCTGTTCTCATTTTCCTATTCTATGATCTTTTAATATTATTGAGAATCCCCATTTATATTCCTGTTTATACATTGTACTTAACTTTAACTATTTTGGCTTTTCTGATCTCCTATAGAGATCATGTTCAGTTCAGTGATAACTATGAGGTAAATACTGTTTGACTTATGATTTGAGTGGTGCTCATTTTCAGCCACAGAAGTATTTGGGTATATTTCTGTCTTCTTATTGAGCTATATTGATGATTTTACCCTTCAACACTCTGCAATGAAGTTAAGAGAAACCCACATTGCAATATACCTGGTAAGATCCATTGTTGGGAACATATGTTATCCTGTTGAGTATCCTTGGCTGTCAACATTAGGAACCAAAGAGCTTTTGTAAAGGTGACTATTTCCAAGTGTAATCAATAAAGGCAAGCTGATAGCAATGGAGCCTTGCATGTAGCCCTGCTCTCTGGGGTATCTGGACCATATATGGAAATCAATTCCATCCTGTCACCAGTTCAAAGGGCTGAAATCACTCCTACTGTCCTTAAGACATTAGCTTAATGGCTTTCATGGTGCCCTGGTCTCAGTAGTGAATGTCTCCTATCTAAATAGACTTGAGCAGGGTGGGGGGGGTGTGGGGTGGGGTGGGGGTGGTGTGACTCTCACCCTGAAGGCTAGGTAATACTTGCTGTTATGAAGTGCCTGAAGGCCAAGTAGTACCTGCAACTACCTAGTGTCTTTAGCATTAGGGGAAGTAGTTGCTATTTGCCCTTTATACATGATAATAGAAATCTTCTGCCATTGTCTCCAACTTTGGTTGATTACTTAAGATGGTGTATGGGTAAACTGAGGCACATTCAGTATGAACTACTCTGTGTCTCTGATTCTTAACTCTTTTATCTAGCCTTTCCATAATCCACACACCCCCACTCAGAAATGTACCCGGGGCTACTTGGCTTGTCCCAACTGCAGCCCCACAAACACCAGTCCATGACACTTGGGTACCATCAACGTCAAGTCTGTGTGTTAGTTCTTGCTGCAGTAATCCTTCAAGGGAATGGTGAATTACCATCATGTCCTAGGAAGTGTCTACCATTCCTCCTCCTTCCAGCAGTTAGCCACAGTGCCTCCAGGAATTACCTCAGGGCCTCTCCAGAGCAGTCATGGGGTAAGAATACAGTTGACTTCAGTTTGGTCTGATCAGGTCTCTAGTGTTGTTCTAGGCCTGGTCACTGTCAGGACAGTGTAGGAAGAACAGCCAACCTGGGGGCTATTGTGTAAGAAAACCTCTCATCCAAGCGTCTTTCTCTCTGGTAGGTCATCCACACCTTCCTGCTGTTTCCCACTATTGAGCGGATGGCGGAGACGCCCAACGGCAGACTTGCTACTCCAATTTTATGCTGGTTTCGGTATGTGCTCTATGCTGCCAGCTACTTAGTCTTTAAACCATGTCCTGAAATAATAAGGTCCTTCATAACCACAAAAGCCCTTCAAAGACTGAACTTTACCTGTGAAATTCCTGTGAAGAACGCTCTTCAGCCGTTCTGCCTGGGTAAGCATGATTTTAAATGGTGTGTGTCTGCTGTTGTCTAGGGAATGTTTACAGAATAGTCTTGGACAGTTCATGTATATCAGGCGGTTATGTGTTTGTATGAAAATCGGATAGACAAACCTCAGGGAGCTTCAGTGTTCCCTTCTGGTTCTGCACTGTGGCTACAGCATGAGGAGATATACCAAGCATAGTGCACAGCATGGGTGGAGTCCTCCCAGGAATCCAGAGGTGCCCAGTGGTTCAGTGTCTGCAACAATGGCCCCAGAGAGTGGACAGGAAACACGCTGATGTTGATCTTTTAAGTCAGGTTAGAAGAGTTTAAATTATGACAGTGAATAGCACCAGACTAATACATTTAGTACTGGCTGCGTTGCTATACATACTTTCAGAACATGCCAGTGATTAGTTTTCCTAATCTGTATTTTGCAGAGTAATGATTCACTGGAATTTTTAAATGATTTAAGTATTTATTTATTTTTTTGTGTGTGGTTGTTTTCCTGCACATATGTCTGCACACTATGCTGACTGCTGGCCCAAAGAGAGTGTTAGATCAGTATGTGGAACATAAGAAATTTTTTTCTTTAATTATGTATGTAAGGTCTAAGTACAATAATTAAATGACAGGTATGTGTTAAGTGAATAAATAATATATATACAATCACTTAATTTTTTGTTTAAGCAAGTGTTTAATGTAAAGATATATCCAAGTCTTTTCTACAAAGGAGTCATGAATGTTTTCCTGAGAAACATCCCTGAAATCACTAGAAAGGAAGGAATCTCCCTTATAATTGCAGTGATTGGTACTCCAGCAGCCTGGGTTGTAAGATAGTTTAACCACAGGACACATTCCCCTTTTTGACAAGGTCATCTAAAACCATCCAGTTGCATTGTTTCAGGCTTTCCCTCACAGCCACAGTAACATCATCATCTTCAAAATACACGCTAAAAAGCAGAATGAATATTGTTCATCTCTTCAAAATACCTACTTGCATACAGACGTATTTGTGTACATGGCCCTCTTGCTGCCTGTTTCATCTGGTCTCGCAATTCCTCTGTTCTGGGTCTGGACTTACAATACCCATGTGATCAGTTGTTCAGTGGTCTCAGTTTTTCCTAGTCGAGGTAACTTTGGTTACAGGGAAAGTAAGCAAGAACTACTTCTCATCCTTTCTAGTCCTCGGCTCAACTCTGCCTGGACACTTACTCCAACCTTGTAGCCCTGAGCTGATCATTACCAGTGTCTCAAGCATCCCAGCCAGCTCATCCCCTTTCTCCCCTGGCTCTCAGCACCCACTGCCTCCTTTGCCACAATCATTGAGATGGCCTTGACTGAGGGTGGTAGTGGGCCCTGCCACGTCTCAGGCCCTGTTTATCAAGGTAAGCAGTATTCATAGCGGCCACCTCAGTGGCATGATTAAGAAGAGTTATCAAATGATCAGGTGAGACGTCATCCTCAGGACTCCTTTTGGTCCAGCTCCATCCTCCCTGTGTGGGCCTGCTCGATGTCTGATGGCCCTTCAGAGGATGACCTGTAACTCACTGCTTGGACTTCAGGCCGCCTTGCAGTGTTTGTGCATTATGTAATGTCTGTGCTCCAGGAGAAATCTTATGGAAACAAATGGAGGAAGTTTGCTAGTCCAAGTGGTAGATTATAAATCCTGCCCTGTCTAGATAGGGTGTCCTCCAGTGTCCTTTAGTTTGTGCACACATTTGTTGTTATAGGCTCTGAAACTTCATAGACCAAAATATTTCCTCATTTCAGGTGTCGCCACGCCTTGGCAGAGACAGCACACCAAACCCTCTACTCCATCTTCACATTCCCCCCTCTATGACATTAGAGAAATGTCACTTCCCATCTAGAGAGTGGCCCTAACTCAGCTAGCAGACAGCATAGGCATTACCTCTGCATCCACCAGGGCAATTTGATTGTGACTAGACTGTCTCAAATGTTTTTAAAGACTATATACATGGATTTACTCCCTTAATTTCAACTCTAGAAATTTGCTACTACATATATTCCCTGCTGCTGATGTGCTTTCATTTCATGTGACGTAGTCTTCCCACTAAGACAGCTAAATTAGATTTTTCTGAACAAAACTAAAAGAAAATATATTTTAACTCAACAGTATCAAGGTCAAACAGCTTAAAATGTTTGAAGGTCTTTTTGTTAGGCTAACCTGACTTTTCATCCTTTCCTTTACCTAATGAAAGAAATATAGCCCAAGGATGTCCTGCCAGGTTCCAGTACTTTGTCAAATAATTCTTGTGAAAGAAACTTTCCTCTTTCTCAATAAACATGGAAATAACTTTTTAAACTGTTTAAAGAGCTAATGATAGCAAGCTTCACAACTGATCACAAATTTCTCAGAATATTTTCAATTAGTCCCAGACTAATTTTTGTTACTACAAAGAAACCAGACATCAACGTGATCTACTTGGTCACTCAGGTGAGCCTGTGAAAGTCTGTTCATAAACAACCTGAGGAAAGTGCGACTGGAGGAAGCTAAGCCTAAAATCCAAGAAAAAGGAGCAGAAATATTTTGTCTGTGCTAGATTTAGGTCAGGGGTAATTAATAGGGCTCTAGGACCTCATCTTTCTTCTAAAATTAAATACTCCTATGAATGTTTCCTTTTTCTCCAAATAGTTTTTACTTTCATTTAAATTATCTTCCTGTCTAAACTGTGGTAGTTTTTAAATCATGCAATAACGACCCCAAGTTCTGTATTTCACTGTGGTAAATATACTGTTGTTTCTGTTTCAGACGGGTCTTCCTGCATCTCTTTAGAACCTTGCATTTTTTACTTCCCTTTAGTCATCCCTGGGAGTTATAAGTTTATGGCAGATGTCAACAGAATCTTTTACAACCCCTGCTATCCGTGCTGATCCATCCCACCTGTGTACCTGCTTAGCTTATCATGGGCTTCAGCCTCCATGTTTGGTCTCCATAGTGATATCAGATCCCAGACCACTTTAAATAAAGGATCAGGCTCTTCCTCCCCACCCCTCCAAACATACCTAGCCAGGCGACAGTCTCCCTCAGCCCCTTCCCATTTGTCACTTAGCCCTTCTTTTTATATACCTGCTATAAGCAACACACATGATAGACTCATAGAGGAAGAACATCCATGCCTGTAAGTTAACAATGGAGCAGGAGAGGCAGCTGTGGTGATGTTAGTGTGTGGCAGTGGCTGCTGTCAGAAGAACAGATACGGGATTAGAGTGGCACTTAGAGAAAAGCAGATCTGGGTCATTTTCACAACAGAGGTGACTGAGGCTGGCCGGGAGGATGGTATCAAGACAGGCCACAGGAGTTACAGAACAGAGGTGACTGAGGCTGGCCGGGTGGATGGCATCAGGACAGGCCACAGGAGTTACAGAACAGAGGTGACTGAGGCTGGCCAGAAGGATGGCATCAGGACAGGCCACAGGTTATACATAAGGCAGCCTTTGTGGCAGACTGTGAGCATTTGGAACACCCAGTGACGCTGTGCTATGAGGTCAGTGCCCTATTGGTCCTCAGCCATCAGGCCTCTCTCAGCTTCCCTGAACCCTCCAGCCTCTCTCTCCTGGACATCCATGGTGACACATGAAGGTGGAATGTTTCAGAAGGCGGTGGTAGCAAAGAAAACAGAGCATCAGGTCCTTGTGAACCATTGTGCACCTGTATTTAGACTTTAAAGAAGCCTAGGTAAACAAATGTCTTCATTTCCATTCTCCTTGCACTAGACATTTCCTTCTCAACAGTGCTGGAACTCTGATATCTGCTGGGTTGCCAGGCATGCTGTTGACAGTCATTGCCAAGAGCGCTGTGTTTTCCCCTTCGGAATTTACATTTCTTTTTGGTATTATTACTTCTGACCACTGTATTGCACTGGGGGCATTGCTGAGGAATGACAAAGGTCACTTACACAGAGCTGTTACTAGAGATGAAATGAGACGTCTTGCTTAAAATAAAGGAAAAAAGTAAACTTAGGTGGAAAATGACAGGAAAAAAGTAAAAATAAAAATAGGTTGGAGTATATTTCAACAAAAACATGATTTTCAGAATTGTGAGCATCTCAAATTGCTCTGATTTTTCCATTTCTAGTCCATACCCATTCGGTGTTTGTTCATCTGCCCCCTTCTTGTTGACTTCTAGAAATTTTAAAACGTGTCCAGATGCCAGTACTTTTCCATATGGTACACATCTCCTTCATTCTATATACACTCTCTTAATGCCCAGAATAGCCAGCTTCTCTCCTCTTCTGAAGACATACATGTCCACGTCCCAGATCTCCTGTGTGATGTGGCCATGGCTGAATGTAGCATGGCTGAGCTAGCCACAGTGGAGAGTCTGACTTCATGACTTGGTTCTCCAGAGGCCACCCTGAGTCCTCTGGCTACTGTGTTCATCAAGAGGCTCTTCCCTGGGCTGGCAGAAACAATCATGGTATCTAGATTAAGGATTGTTCCTGCAGCCCCTTCTGGAGGTTCATTCCCTCAATTCTATTTGTCACATGAAATCAAGTGAAAATCAAGGATGACCCCTTGTAGATCCCTGGAGCTTGGGTCACTGTAGCCGTGTCCTCTCCAGGGCTTTGCTCTACGAAAGTCACTGGATTCACCTTCCCAGATGCTGTCTCTTTGATGCAGAATGGCATTAGAACTGTTTCAGTCATGTATGGTAGATGATAGATATGCAGACAGCTGCCTTTGAAAGGAAGTTATTGCTTGCAGCTCCCGGTGACAGGGGACATGCCACACCAGACAGGTGCGCACAAGGATGCACCCCATTAAGTCAGGAGGCAGAAGAGTCATGTGACGAACAGCCTATGTTGTGGATTCCATGGAAGGCTGGGATGAGACAGGCTGGGCACCTGGGTGGGGAGATCTAGGATTGGCTGTTATAATTTCTGAAGTCTCAGGGTGGTCTCCTGTCTGGTACCTAGCCCTGGAGTGATTTCAAGGGGGGAAGGGTAGGATGCTGGGTTGCTCTGTCAGAGCTACAAGAGAGTACATAGCTGGGGTTTGAGACTTTGGTGGGTGGCCTGCATAGGAAGGTTGTGGTCAGTGGAGTCTCTGTCCCTGGGAATGGGAGCTTTGATTTGATACCCCCATCTTGATGACACTCCAGCCTGTGAGGACGGTAGGAAGACCCCCTGGAAATGTTGTATGATGACTGACAAAGCTCTCTGTGGGCCGTGAGAAGGCCTAACCAATACATGGCAGCCATGGAGGGGTCTCCCAAGATCCCACATGTGTGACTTGAATTCTGCTTCTCTATCACTAAACGTGTGACTCGGTGCCTTGTGTTTGGTATTTTGATAATAAAACCAGGGAGCCAAGAAATATCTCAACTGTGGCCAACATCAGTAAAAATGATTTCTGAATGTAGCAAAGTCTTCCTCATGGAATCTGAGGTGTGTCATGTTTCTAGATGCTTCCAGAGACAAAAGTGTAATCTCTTAATGAAGTCTTCTGAACATAAAAGTAGCAGCCAAAGTGTTTACATGCTTGTTTTCAAATAGCTCATTTGGGAAAATTTCAAGTGGATTTTTCATGTCAAATGGAAATAACTTCACCTAGCTCCCCCACTGCTGAACTGAATAAGAAGGACTTCATTTACCCTATTGCCAAAAGCAACTGAAAAATAAAATGTGAAAGCAACATTTTAAGGCAATGGATGTTGAACAGTGAGGCAGAGATTCTGAGAAAAGAGAAACCAGTGAAGTGAGTTTTACAATCATCTCCTTTTAATGGTTGATGTTTCCAGGCTGTCATGCAGGGATGAAGAATACCAGTGGAGCTCTTTCACTGCCCAAAGGGTGTTGGTCATGTTCTTATCCCCTAGGATGCATTGGTATCTTGGGGCCTTGCTGGCCAGGGTAGGCTGCCCCTCCCAGGGTTGACTAAGACATAGTCCTCTGTAAACACACCTTGCCTTTGCAAGCCTGCCAGGGAGCTCATTGTGTCTTTTGGACCCACAGTGTCTAATGTCAAAAAGCACTTAGCCTCTAGAAAAAGGAGTCATATGGATTTGCTAAAATTAAGTTGACATATGTGTTTCTTCCGTGTATTCTATGTGTTTAACTGTTAGTCTGTTCGTTTGTTTTTTAATGAAGCTAATGCTGCCTACCTCGGGAGCCAAGAAATGATCCATGTGCGGAAGAGAGATGATGAAATCATAAAGGAACATTTACCTAAGGTAACCACTTTGAGGCTGCAGGTATGCCAGTTGATGGGTAGAAATACTTACTGAGAGATGAGGTTAGAATTGGTCAAGAACTGAAGACTTTGAGCCTGTGTAGATTCAGACGGAGTTCTGTTACACTTGAAAGTTAGATGGAGTAACTAGAGCGGGTTACAGCTACATTAGTATATTTTGACACTTGTTTTGTTGAATTGACTTTTAAAAATCAGTATGTTCTATTTTAACAGTGTATTAAGCTGAGAGTTCTCAGCAGCATCTGTAGGATAAATGCGTTATGTGGAAATGTAACAATTAAAACAGAAAAAGAGCTAACATTGCATATGTCTACTCAACAGGAAGCCTATCTTTCTCATTCTCCAACACATAGGGCTCTCTTGTTTTCACAAAAACAGTAGCTTTCTGATATATCAGGAGGTATGTGTTACCTGCAAACAGGAGACTCACACAAACACATTTGAAAGTGCCAGTCTCCAAAGCTATAAAGCTACCATACACAAATGTGCTCATATATGGATATCTGTGGCACTTCTGGGACATCATCTGTCTGTGTCATCCTGAAGAGGGTAGATCTGCTGTGTTTTTTTTAATGTTTATCTGTTTTTATTTGCATTGGTGTTTTCCCTGTATGTATATCTGTGTGAGAGTGTTGGATGACCTTACGATGGAGTTACAGACAGTTGTGAGCTGACATGTTGTTGCTGGGCATTGAACTAGGGCCATTTGGAAGAGTAGTCAGTGCTCTTAACCTCTGCACCATTCTCTAGCTGTCATTTTCACTCTTGTTCTGTTGCTTGAGCCCTGCAAATGACTTCCTAGGGCACATGACCTGCAGCTGAACTTTGCCCACTGCCCGGAGCTGTTCTGTTAAATTTCAACACCCACACATCAGAAGTGCTATGTGTGGTTAGTTTGAATTCAGAGGTTTCATTAGTATAAGTGGATGCCGACCCTCAGGATGTTAGTACCGTGTGCTCAGGGTATAGAACAGTAGTGGAGTGCTTACCTGGTATTGTACAAGACCTGAGTTCAACCTCAGCACAGGCAGAAAAACATTAGTATCTTTTTTTAAAAAAATAATTTAAATATTTTTATATTTTTAAATTTAAATTAGAAATAAGGTTGCTTCACATGTCAATTCCAGGTCCCTCCCTATTTCCCTCCCCTCCTCCCGTGCCCTCCCACCAACCCCCTATTATCCCCTCATTTCCCCAGGGAGGGTGAGGCCCTCCATGGGGGTATCCATAGTCTGTCATTTCATCCAGGGCAGGGCCCAGACCCTCCCCCAAGAGTTCAGGGTGAGAGTGCATCTCACATTATTGGATGGGAGTCCAAAGTCCATGTGTATACCTGGGATAAATACTGATCTACTGCCCAAGGCTCAATAGATTACCTAGGCCTCCTCACTGACACCCACATTCAGGGGGTCTTGATTAGTCCCATGCTGGATTCCCAGGCATCAGCCTGGGATTCAAGAGCTACCCCTTGTCAGGTCAGCTGTTTCTGGGGGTTAAACCAGCCCAGTCTTAATCCCTTTGGTCATCAGTCCTCCCTCTCTGTCACTGGATTTTTTGAGTTCAGCTCAGTGCTTAGCCGTGGGAGTCTGCCTCTGCTTCCATCGGCCACTGAATGAAGGTTCTGTTTCCCAGACTCTCTGGCCATGGGATTGTAGGCTGGCAAAACATTAGTATCTTAAAAAAAGAAAAGTTTCATTAATATATTGATCACATGTTGAAATATTTTAGATACATTGTAGTAAATGTATTTTAAATACATTTAAGCTAATTTTACTTATTCCTGCATACTCTTTAACACTGTTGCTAGGAATTTCTGTAGACAACACTACGCAGCTGAACTTTACAGTTAGTGTGGAACACTGACATCTGCTGGGTGTGGTGGAATGATCCCTGGTGGATGAGAGACTCTGATAGGGCTGGAAGTCAAAACCTAGAGACGGCACTGCATTGAGAACCTCTTCTTAAACTGTGACACACTAACATGAAGCTTGTCCACAGTGCTGATTCCTAGCTGCTTAACCCCCAATACAGTCTTCTGAAAGCAAGCATTATGTAATATTGGCTTAGAAAATATTTTATTGTATTAAAATATTTATTTCAATAGTCGCTGGGGAAATGCCAGTATCTGTTTGCTTTATGTTATCATATCATCTTCCTATGTCATCATTTTTCCTAATCAGCAGTTGTCGAGTGAGAAATTCTGAATTAAGATAAACTGTTTCTAGCTGACTGGAGAAGGTTGGGCAAAGAGGACCCACTACTCTCCAGGGCTGTGCAATACTTCCAGCCTTCAGGGTATAAAATGACCATAGAACAACAGTTTATTTGTAGTTAATTTACAAGCAAGTCTGTTTCCAAACTGCATTTTAGTTCTTCAGGTTGGAAGTTTATAAAAACAATTCAAGTCCTGCTTTATAGCAGGATTGCCAGACCCTTGCTTCCAAAATTCACACTTGGGGAATGACTGGACCTGACATGTTAGAGCTGGTCCTACCACCTGGGGAAGTCAGCTGCTGCAAAATCCTGCTCGGTCCAGATCCTGTTCGTACACTGTGCTGAGAAGGAGGTCAAAGAAGGTGCTAACTTATCCCTGTGCTAAGTTAAACCCAGGTAGTCATTCCCAGGTGAGGTGTGTGCTCATGCATTGTGGCAGGACTGGAAGTTTTGACACTTTCTCAGGGGAAACCTGGGAGTGTGCTGGTACACAGTCAACACTTGAAGGTTAATATTAGCACAGGCTCCAGAGAAGCTCTCCAACTCCAGGGAATAATTGTGTCTCTACGACGACGATGACATCAAATGCATGGTAGAATTTAAGGCATGTCCGGTGCTGTTCACCATGCTGCGGTGCAGCTCCAGTTCTGTCTCACAGTAACTCCTTACGTGGGTTCACTGAAATGCCTTCTGCCAACCAAAGAGCAGCTCTCCACTCAGATAGGGTTGGCTCTGTTCCTCAGCATTCCTGAGCTAGCACAGAGACACAGGAAGTGATGGCAGCTTCATGTGATGTAGTGAAATAAGAGGAAGTATGCTGCAACTTAGTTTTGATAACAGTGACTTAACATAATGTGTCCCCGTCAGCTTAGGAAAACAAGGGAAGTTAACTGGACACATAGTTCTAGGAAGGTGGACATTGCCTCCCCTCTTCTGGAGATCGTTTCTTCCAGTGGTTCTTAGCCTTCCTAGAGCTGTGACCCCTTACAGTTCTCATGTTGAAGTGACCCCAACCATAAAACTATTTTCATAACTACTTCATATCTGTAAATATCTGTGTTGTGGATGGTCTTAGGTGACCTCTGTGAAATGGTCCTTTGACCCCCAAAGGTGTGGGGACCCACAGGTTGAGAACTGCTTTTAGTCAAAGCTGGAAGTTCCTGAGACTGCAAATGCCTCTGTTTTCAAAGCTGTACTCAAGGATGCCCTCTCCCCATTTCCACCCAGGCAGAGGAACGCAGAACCTTTCTGCTTATTCACACCACCCAGTATGAAGTTTCTGACCCATCACTGATGCAAAAACTTTCACATCAGAGGTCACACTGTCTCTTCACCTGGCTCAATCCCACTTTTCCTTAAACCTGGCTCCCACTGTCAGCTCCAGGAAGTTTCCCCAGCTGCAATCATCCCTGTAGCTCTCACGGCTCCCTGTTTAGAGTTAGAATATCACAGTTGTCACACACAGTGTGTAAATGAACAGCCTTTGACTTGTCCATCCCACGGAGGAACTGTCATTTTCATCTGAGGGTCCGCCACAATTCATAGTGTCTGGTGAACCAGCAGTGAATGCGTGCTAGATAGGTTGGTGGAAAGACAGGTCAGTCAGGATGCTCCTATAGACTATGGATTATGTTGAAATACAGTCAGCAAAATACTTTAAAAATTAATTTGTGATACAGTTCTGTGTGCATCTTTATTGACGCATTGGAGAGCAAGAGGGAGTAACAGGTACTGGGGAGATTGTGCAGCAGTTTGCAACGAATGCTGTGCTTACAGAGAACCCAAGTTCAGATCATATATCCATGTCAACAACTCACACCCGCTGTACTCCAAGTCCGGGGGGATCTGACACCTCACGCCTCTATGGGCACCTCCACTCATGTGTATACACACGCACAGACACGTGTGCACACACACACATGTAATTAAAACTTAAATAAAATTAAAGATATAGTAGAGTTGCTACTGTGAGTTTGTAGAAATGAGTGTAATTTTGTGTTTAGTCATCTACAGTAATTTTACTACAATTTGAGTACATATGTATTAACAACATTGTGGCTTATTGTCTATTTACAATTGAATGAAATATTAAATTTTAGCTAGAAGTAAATAACAAGGTTATCCCAATCACTGGATCTAGGTGGGCTTGTAGACTCCAAGGTAAAAGCCCCACATTAGGAAAAGAGAGGCTGGGCTGCATGAAGCATTGGTGTGGACACTGAATAAGTCATAAGCAAGGGACAGCATCAAGAGCAGCCATTCTCAATCTGTGGTTCACACACATTTGTGGGTAGAACCACCCCTTCACAGGAGTAGCCTGAGACCTTTGGAAAAACAGATATTTACATTAAGATTCTTAACAGCAAAATTACAGTTATATAGTGGCAGTCAAAACAATTCTATGGTTGGGGTTCACCACAAAATGAGGGACTGTATTAAAGGGTCACAGCACTAGGGAGGCTAAGAACCACTGATCTAGACCGATATAACAAATATTTAGCAACCACAAGATACAGCCGCTGACCAATCAGAGCACATAGCACCTGCCAACAGCTCATTCTGATATCCCAGTATCTTCACTTGAGAGATAATTGGGGAAATGTTAGAATATTTGGAAACATTTCATTTTTCGGTGGCGTGTCTGTTAAGGGTTTTAGAAGACTGGATGCAGTGGGGTTGGGAAGAAAGGATTCAGGAGGAGGAACCAAAGACCCTTAGTTCAGGTGGGGCATTAGCAGATGGGTGAGGGAGTCTGAGACTGTGGGTTGCCGTTGGTCTAGATTTGGTGTAAGGGAGGATGGGGAAGTAGCCCAGGCTGTGGGAGGTGGTTGCTGCTTGTGTGTGAGACACCTATGGCATATCCATGCCCAGATGTCTGCTGTGAATCCTAGAAGGAGGAGTCTGGGCTCAGTTTTGGTTTTGGCAAGATAGGCCTGTAGTTGGAGCTGTGACCACGCATAGTGGCCACCTACGGAAGTCTGTAATATAAAGAAAGAAGCCATCTGAGGGTTAACGCTTGGCCATTCAAGTTGAAGGTTGGGGAAAGAGGAGCCAGTGAGCATAATGGGAGTAGAGGCAGGAAGGGGCACGAGGTGAGCTGTGGACTAGAGTAGCCAAGGGAAGGAACAAACTGTACATTTCACCTCTCTGCTTGTGTGGGAGCCTCCGGGGTCTGCTGTGCTTTATCAGTCAGGTACCTGGTGTGTCTGGAGTAACGTGAAGGTCTGCGTCCCCTATTCTGTCAGGAGATACAGGTCCCCTCCAAAGAAAAGTGAATTAGTGTTTGGTTATAAACTTGAAGTTTTCATTTAAAACTCACTTAGGAGGGAAATCCTACACTGCCGTGACCATCCTTGGCCCAGGCTTTGGAAACAGCTGTTGTGTGCTGCTTCTGGACTAAGTCTGAGCATCACTCTGGTCCGCAGGAGCCTTCAGTTGTTCACACAGGGAGCACATTGGCTGCAGCCCTGGGAAGGAGGTGGGCAGCTGTGGCAGGGCAGGTGGTGCTGATGCTGCCCCAGACCAGGGCTACCATGTGTCTTTAAGAAGGGACAGAATGCCCTCAGGGAAGGAGCTGTCTGTCCTGTTTCCATCCTCTGCTTAGCCTGTCCTAGGCAGAGGTGCCAGCTGCCTGTGGGAACGACCCTGTGCCTACCACAGGGCTATAAGAAAACAGTGTGACCTCTAGGTTTGTAGTGACTGTGTCTACTTAACTGTCTCACTCTCCTTCACCTCCTTCTCTCCTCTGTCCACCCCAGTCTCAGTACACATGATGTGGCCAGGTGTCTTTTAAAGAGTTAGAGGAATCTGCCACACAAGATTCCAGGGAGGTTTCTTGCAATCACACTCCTTAAGGCATCCCATGGTCTCTAAGGGCTCTGGAAGTGACCTTAGGACAGAGGGCAGAGCCGGGCACAGGTATTGCTCTCCACACCCTGCAGTTCACTGGTGTATGTTGATATTGGGAGCGTGGATGAAATGCTGTTTCTTGTCTTTCAGCTGACATTTTACTATGGTAAAACAGACCGCTGGTGTCCAGTAAAGTACTATGAAGACATGAAGAAAGATTTTCCAGAAGGCGATATCCGACTCTGTGAGAAAGGAATAGCACATGCTTTTGTCCTCGGCTTTAACCAGGAGGTGGCTACCATAGTTGCTGACTGGATAAATAATAAGCTGCCCAAAATATAAACGCTGGCTCAGGGGAAACGCACCTACAGCCAGTACATGGGGGTGAATGTCTAATCTTAAAGCTTGAAAAGGAAAGGTGAGATCCTCTTGGCTAACAGACCACCAGCTCCCAGATTCCTGTGCTTACACTAAAGTGAACACAGTCTATGACTCTTTCCACGTCTTCCCTAACTCAGGAAACACAGTCATCTCCCCAATGATTCCTCTGTTTACAAGAAGCCCAACAGCACTGTGCGGTGCAGTTTGCCCAACATGATCCGTACAAGCTGCAGAAATTGTAAATATAGGTGATTCCCATTGAGTTACTGCTTTAGAATTGCTTGTCCTGGATGCAATTATGAAACACATACTAGAAAATGAAAAGCCACCCATGAATGTGAAGTGTGTGTCAGGTGTGTGAAATGTTAAGACAGACAAGCACACCCTCCTCTTCCAGTTCCCAGGAGCAATGAGCAGGGGACACTGGCAGTGAACTTGACTTTCCCTTCAGATACTGGTTAAAATCAGTCCAGACCTTGTGCAGATCGTGGCTGAGGTCATCAGCATGTCTTCCTGATCCTCCCGCAGTAACCAGGAATCAAGGTTGCCTGACATGTATCAACTAACTAGACACAGTTCCTGACTCTGACCTGGCCCTGGATGGCTAGCAGACTCCTCCTGAACCTTAAAATGCCAGTTCCCTGCAGGCTTCTCTAGAGCAAGAAAGGAGGGATGGACTGTCCACATCAGATGTGTAAGGCAGTGGAGTCGCTCATGGGTGTGAATCTTCCAATGGAGCTCCATGGACAGGAAGCAGTGAACCACTAACACCATTCATGATGCCGTTCACTACCCTATGGTCCTTCCGATTTGAAAATCTCCTAGAACATAATTTTTGCAAAGGTTATAAATTGTTGAGTAAAACTTTAACATAAACTCATTCCCCACTTGCCTAAACTTTGTTGATTTGGAAGAAATTTATGAGTGAACAGAAGTAATCCATTAAATTTTGCATTTCTTCACCTCTGAAAACATACTCCTGGCTGAGAAGGGGAGGAACTGCTATGCTGCCTGCTCTTAATTGACTCAATCCTAGAATTTCAGACCCAGTATTCCCCATGGTCTGTAGTGACAGTGACCGTTGATGCATAATTGTAAGTGTTCCATTTTCTTCTAGAGAAAAGCTCTCATAGAAGTATCATTCCTCATGGTCCTTCCTCTCAAAAACCTAAGATGCTGGTGAAAGCTTTGGTTTGAAGTACCGCCAGCTCGGTGGTGAGTGATGGATGAATTTCCATCCTCTGCATGGCTTCTGTATTGGAGCTCTAACTTCTCAGAGGGGAAAAGCCAAACTCCAGACAGTGAGTGTCTTAGTCCATGTAGAAGACCGTTAGCTACACAGTGAGGTTCCATGCTGCACACAAGTCCTCGCTGGCATCTGCACACAGAGGCCTTCTGGAGAGCTGACCTGGGAAGCCAGGAGTCATGCTCTGAGCCCCTTGCATATAGGACAGGTCCAGTCAGTGGTAAGAAATCAATGCATAGGAACAAGTCCTGGTGAGTCAGTGCTCCTGGAACAAAATGGCCTTCAGGATTGCCTCAAGAATGATTCTCCGTTACTCTGTTTTCCAGACTTCTTAAAAGACCCAGTGCCTCATTCCCATTCCTCCTCTAAACAACTAATGATATTTATAATAAATGTTTTGCCTGTGGTTACCACTGTGTCTGGTCTGATCTCCGTGTGCTGTGGGCAAGGATACAGTGTAAGCAGTACAGGTTTTAGAAGAGTGACTCCTTAAGGATTATAGAGGAGCTGGAAAGAGAGCTCAGTGGTTAAGAGCACCAGCTGCTGTTCCAGAGGACCAGGGACCTACTACCCTCATATCAGCTCACAACAGTCTGTACCTCCAATCTCAGTGGATCTGACACCTTCTTCTGGTCTCTCTGGGTACCACGTATGCACTTTGAGACCATTTTGAACTACTTGGCAAGACCCTGTCCCAAACATAGAAGGAGGAAGAGGAGAGCACAGAAGACAAAAATTTATACCTAGTGGATGAGATCTGTTTCCCAATAGTTGTGCCTGTATGTTCCAGTTAGCTATGTGATGGTCCCTGTGGTCTTCACAGGACTCCTAGAAAGCTGTGTAGTGCTGTGTGAAAGATCAGTTGGAACTTTGTTCCAGGTCTGTGATGAATCCTTAGCCATGAAAGAAACTCCAGAGGCAGTTCAAGAGGGCTCATGACTGGACCCTTTCCCTATGTCCTTCTCTCACGCAGTATCCCTTGGACAGCGAGGCAAGTCCTCTGTTTTGATCTTCCCTCATACTTATATTAATGCTGTAATAATCAGACTAAAGGAGCATAACCAATGGACACAACCCCTGGATTGAATGTTTTCTTCATAAAAGAAATCTTGGTGACGATTTGGATGATGTCTAAAGTTAGTAGCTTTAATTTTTTTTCTGACATCAGTAATTATACTAAGTAAATTCAAGAGAATGCCTGTGTTACATATTGTGTCAGGCTTTCTGTTGCTATGAAGACACACCATGACCACAGCAATTCTTACAGTCCAGGTGTTCAGTCCATTGTCATCCTGCTGGGATATGTCCTGGTGCTGGAGAAGTAGCAGACAGTCTTAAATCTTGTAGGCAACAGGATGTGGTCTGTGACACTGGGTGGTATGTTGAGCATATGTGAGACCTGAAAGTCACCTCCAAATAGCACACTTTCAGCAAGACCATACCTGTTCCAGCAAGGTCATACTTCCTAATAGTGCCTGTACTATTGGGGGCCTTCTTTTTCAAACCACCACATTCTACTCCCTGGCCTCCAAAGTCTTGTAGTCATATCATATTGCAAAAATGCTTTCAGTCTAAGTTCAAAAGTCCCTATAGTTGACTTCAGAGATGACTAAGTGGTTAGGAGCACTGGCTGCTTTACCAAAGGTACTGAATTCTATTCCCAGCAGCCAAATGGAGGCTCACAACCATCCGCAATGAGATAGGGCATGCTCTCTGACCTGCAGGCATACATGCAGACAGAACACTTTTTACATAAATAAATAAAACTTTAAAAAAAGTCCTCATAGTCTTTAACAGTATCAAATTTATTTAAAAATCTGAAAGTACAAAGACTTTTCAGAGATTCATGTAATCTCTTAACTGGAATCCCTTGTAAAGTTAAAATAAAAAAGCACTTAAAATAAAAAAAAAAGCACTTCCCATACTTCTAACATATAATAGCACAGGATATACATCACCATTCCAAAATCTAGGGAAGGGAGTATAGTGAGGAAATACTGGACCAAAGCAAGACTGAAAACCAGCTGTGCAAACTCCAAACTCTGCATCTCCATGTCAGATGTCAAAATGCTCCTCACATCTCTTAAGTTCTTCCAGCTTTGTTGACTGCAACATGCTTCTCTCTCTTGGGATGGTTCCATTCTGTTAGCAGCTCTCTTAGGCAGCTATTCCACAGCTCTGGCATCTCGAACATCTTGTGGTCTCCAAGTCATCCAGGCTTCAACTGACAACTTCACACAATGACCTCTCTAGGCCTTCATTCAAGGACACCCCTGACACATGCCTGGCCTCAGCGACTTTCCCTAGTCTCTGGGGAAGGCTCTACAATGCCTCTCTTCTGTCCTTCACTCTAAAGCCAGAACCACATGTGTAAAGAGAGGCTTTTTCCTTGAAAGAAGCCTTCCTGCCAGCCTGGTTCTAGAGCCGCATCAGTCCCAAATAAACACACAGGAGGCTATATTAATTATGAAGCTGTTGGCCTTGCTTGTTTCTTACTGGCTAGTTCTGACTTAAGTAATTACCCCATAATTGTTAATCTAAGTATGTTTCTTACTGGAGAATAGTTCCGGGCTTCCTACCCCATGGCGTTACATCTTGACTCCCTGTGTTCCTCCTTCCCAGAATTCTCCTGGAGTCTTAGTCCCACCTATCTAGATTCCCTATTGGCCAGACAGTGCTTTATTGACAAATGCACAGGACTTCCCCAACTCACGTGGCTGAAGCTACCAAGTCCTCCTGCTTGCTGGGGCTGGAACCTGGACCCTTGTTCTTTTACATCTTCACCAGCTTTCTTTCCTTCACTGCCTAAGCGTGGCTGTTTTTGAATTTGCTCTGTAAAGCAGTGTGGCCTCGAAATCTGAAACCGGAAAGTCTGCCTTGCGAGTGTTGTAATTAAAGGTGTGCCCCCACCACACTAGACTCTCTGCTTTTCTTTAATTCCCTTTCACAGCTTGGAAACTTGGCTGGGCGAGATCTGTGTATCTTCACCTCCCTAGTTCTGGGACTAAGGATGTACACCACCACACCTGGCTCTAATCTTTTCTTTGATTCCTTTTCATAAGTTAGAAATTTAGCTGGGTGGGATCTTGCCCTGAGGTCACCACTTCCTGTATTCTAATTCTTTATCTGTTTATTTCCTTGAACACAGGACTTGGCTTTGTTCCACTTCCTAGTGCCCCTGTTCCCAATCCGCTCACCCTGTTTCGTTTGCTCAGTTTGTTCCTATTCATTACACATCTGCAGGGTTACTACTGATAACAACACGACGGAGTCCACACTGGGCTGTTTGAGATTCCCTCTGCCAAGGGCATTAATCGAAAACTCTTCACTTTAGCCTCAGGCAGACTCCCTGAACGAGGGCAAGAAGTGGCCACATTCTTCACCAAAATACCATAAGAATAGACCACATATGAACATTCTCCTCTGAAATCGCTTGAGCCAGGCCCCCCAAGTTCAAATCACTTGGCATCAGCGTCTTCCCTTCTCCTAGTGTGCCCCATTAAGCAGAGCTTAAATCTTTCCTAACCTAAACTCTCAAAGTCCATTATTATTCCAAACAGAAACATGCTCCAACCTATCATGGCAATATCCGTCTCTGGTACCACCTTCAGTCTTAGGCTTTCTATTGCTGTGAAGAGACACCATGACATCGGCAACTCTTACAAAGGAAACATTCAGTTGTGGTGGCTTACAGTTCAGAAGTTCATGGTGGGACATGGCAGTATGTAGGCAGATACGGTGCCAGAGAAGTAGCTGAGAGCCCTACATCTTGCAGGCAACAGGAAGTGATCTGAGATACTGGGTGGTATCTTAAGCATATATGAGACCTCAAAGCTGCCTCCTCAGCCACACATTTCCTCCAACAAGACCACACCTATTCCAACAAGGCCATACTTCCTAATAGTGCCACTTCCTTTGGAGGCATATTCTTTCAAACTACACGATGATGATTATGATAAAGAGAATACATATTTATCTAATACTTAGAGACACACCTTAGAGACATTTCCTCCATTCCGAAAATGCACAGGCTAAGATGTATCATTGACATTTGTGAGACCAAGAGAAACTACATTAACAAACTCTGTAATGACTTTAATTGTAAATAAGAGGATCCAACAGCCTTTCTATAGCCAATATCCAAGACTTAGTTACCACTTGAGATCAGATCTGGCAGCTTAATAGTAAACTGTTTGTGGTGTTACATGAAGACCCACTGGCCTTTAATACCCTGTTCATAAAAATTTTTGCCCATATGATTTTGTGGCATAATATATTGGTGTCTTTGAAAGCATGTTCCCTGGGTTATATGGATCCTTCAAATGTAGACAAGAGTATTTCATTAGACAATATGATATACAGCCACATCTGCTAATAACTGCTGCCCACCCTTTCAAGCTCACAGAGATAGGAACATTTTCCGGATTTTAGATAAAGATACATTTAAAGATACAATGCCATCTATTCTATACAATATCAATTAAAGATACATACCATCTATTCTACAATCAATACAAATGCTACCACAGAAATAGACAACTGGTATCTTGGTATTGTTGTGAAAACAGTCCTTTAAAGGGCAATGAGAACCCCATGTCTCCATGTACCATATTGGGAACCAATGGGACAGAAGCAAGGACCAAACTCCGATATCTTGGCTTTGGCTGTTCATATGAAAGAAACACAAAAGCTGGAGCTGTATATTTTGAGAATAATATACACCTCAATTAATTTTGGACACATTGGAGCCCGAGTCATGGCCATGACCCCAAACAGAAAAGAAAAATGAGCCAGGCGCTCTTTGGAGACTGATTTCAAAGATGGTTTTGTTTAGTGGCATACCTGCACATCCCATTGAAGGGAAACACCATGGAGCTGGGCGAGTGGCTCAGGAAATGATTATGAACTCCCACATCAAAGCAGAGAGGCAGGCAGATGTCCATCAGCGCCATTGCCAGATCAGCTGATAGCTCATGGGTCAGTGGGAAGGGTCGACTGAGATGGGCAATGTTGAGTTTGGTCACTTGGTTAGAGTTGATTCTGTGTTTAGAGTAGTCTATATTCGTCTTTCAATGTGTTTTTCTTTTTTATGAAGTGCCAGTTGTGACTATGACTCATGATGGTTTTAACAATTAATTGTACTTAGAAAAGAATTTCCTTCACAAGTCAATATGCACACATTCCCTCTAAATATTCTCATTTACTTATTTACGTATGTTTATTCACTCACATGTTCTCCAGCCATTTGATTTGCCTGAAAAATATGTGGGCTTATGAGTTTGGTAGGTGCAGCATTTTCTGTGGGGCAGCCTCAGGGAGTACCTCCTGCAGACAGATGCCCCAGAGAGCTCTACCACCTGAATCTGCTTGCCTATCCCCTGGATCTGTTGCAGGAATCAGAAGGCTGTTT